CAATCTGGATTGCAATAACTGCTACCCACAGACTTTTCACAGTTGTTGAGTGGTTGTTTCATTCAAATACCAACCTTGTGATACTGTACGTCAGATAATTGCCCGAGAGGCATTATTTCTTGGGACAGCAAAATGACCTCAAGTCATGTGATTTCACAAAAATACCAGGGTCTGTCAAGTTAAATTTGACAGAATATTTTGAAGATTCTGTTTAAATAGCCATTCAAAAAAATGCATTTTTAAATTAACATAAGAAAACATAAAAATATGGGAGTATGGAACAAGCTCCACAGCCATGTCAATACCCTGCCTTCTTTCAAGAAATGTCCCTTGGATTATTAAACTAGTAAATACCCAAATGAGCAGGATGAGCCAAATGGCTTTCTCTCATTTGTAAACTTTATTTTCTTGACCATTCCCTGCTAGAGCAATTAAGATTGGTTGCTGTTGGCATGATCAGAGGTAGGCTGTCAGTGAGAGATGTTGCCCAGAGAATTGTTCTGCTTCAACAATTAGCAGATTAGTCCAGAGAAAGCAGGAAATTAGCTCTGTGAGAGACATGGAATGCCGTGAAAGGTCACCACAATGTCTGATCCATCTGCATAATCGTTTTCAGACTGCATTGACTACAGTACAAAAAAATTACAGGATGGATTAACCCATGCATCAGTCAAATGGCTAACTGTAGATTTCCTTCTGCATAAAAATGATGTGCATGCTTGGGGGTATCATTGACAACTGAGAGATAAAATCAGTGTGTTCTGTGAGCCAGAGAAGACACAAAGTGGTTGGAGTAACAGGTTGAGTGTTTTATGCTGTTTTATGCTGTTTTGCCCTTGGCTTACCCAATGGAAGACAAAGTATGTGAAGAGTTTGTGGTAGCACTACACTGTTAAAGCCAACTGATGAAGTTTTGGAAGTGTGACAGTGTGAGGAGAAAACACCTTTTACATGCGGGGCGGGGTCCATTGATCCAGACCAAGAGTAAATTTGCTGATCAGTGATACAACAACAAAGTCCTTCAGTCCACTGGTTTCCCATTCTTGATGGGCAATCCAGAAGTATTGATTTTCTTGCAGAACTACACATCGCCACTCAGACCTAGGATTACAATGGAGACATTTCTCAAAAACATTGCTGAAGTCTTGCTGTGGACAGCTTTCCTTCCTGACCTGAGCCCAACAGCGCATCTGTGGGACCAGTTTTTATACCATCCGTAAGAGACAATCACAGTGGGCCAGCATTCAACAGCTGGCTGCAGCTGCATAGCAGGAATGGAGAACCATCTCAGAATTCTGTACAGAGGCTGATGAGGTCTATGGGTCAATGTCATGATTCTGTTAATGTTCAGAAATCCTTTTATTTTGACACTGTCATTCTTAAAACCTGACCCATTGATATATTTAATTTATATGAATACATTCATAAGACATGAATGTTGCAGTTCTTTTGTACATCAGTGTAGTTATGTTGATGTACGACAAGTTATTTTTGTGTTTCCGAAATACTATAATACTGTTAATCACACAATTGATTAATGGATACTGTAGACGAGTGCATCATAAAAGAACTGTCGTCTCCTAATACCTACAAGAACTGTCAGGCCTACTGTAATTTGTTTTAAAATTGGCATTTTTCAAGTGTGTCTGGGCATCTCCATAGGAGCAGAGATACCTAATTGGGAGCACATTTTAGCTTAAATCAGGAGAAAACTCAAGATGTTCACTAAATGAGAACAATTTCTGTTCTGCAAGAGGAGGCTGTAGCCAGCAGTATGGAATACAGATTCCAATCTGTCATTTTGATCCCTCGCCCTGCTCTCTGTTCACTTTTAATGACTCAGTGTTGAAATTCCTATATCTCTTTTCCACTGGAACTAGAGGTACTGAGACTATTCTGCTGACAGTTTGCTGAGCGAGGTCTATACCAAGCTGTGAAACTCATAACATATTTGAATAGTACTTGGAGCCAAGGCAGGCTGTAGTTGGGTTGTTCATGTTTGTTATTACACTTTGTTTTTCATCTTTATGATTCAGTCGCATTTGAGAAAGGCAGCGTGATCTACAGGGAGTCAAGAGTACTGAAGCATTTGTTTGAGATTGTTTGCTATTCTGTTTGTGATCCAAATAAACAAGGTCAAAGAAGTTATATCAATACTGATGTAGAGTGACACAGAATCCATGATAAATGATTAATGAATAGGCTCCACCCTGTAATATTAATGCTGCCGAGAACTAAAGTAAAGTTCAAAAGTTAAAGTTAAAGTTCATTTATTGTCATTATTCTCATACACAGGTATATAGTATAACGAAATGCCATTTAGGTAGCTCTCAGACAGTAAGTAGTACAAAAACAAACAATACAATTTTATAAGAAAAGAAAGACAAAGACGACGGGCAATGTGCAAAACTAAACAGGAAACAGGTATTGTGCAAAACAACATCAGTTGTCCAAAATCGTACATCAACAGAATGAAATAAAGGATAGAAAATCATGGGGAGTGAACTTTTTGACACGTGAGGTAGAGGTAGATGTTTCTGAATTTTAATAAAGAGAGAAGGCACTGTAAGGGTTCAGATCGTGGGTGAGAGAGGCTGGGAGTTGAATAGTTTGAAACTGTCTCTGAGTCTGGTAGTCCAGGCCCGGATGCTCTGGTACCATTTTCCAGATGGTAGAGGGTTGAACAGTCTGTTGCTGGGGTGTGTGTGGTCTTTGATAATGCTTAGAGCTGTCCTCAAGCACAAAGTAATATTGTTCTTCAGTAGTAAGTACTGATATACTGTTAAAAAACCGAGCACTTATAACTGCAACAAAATCACAAAGTTATCGAGAAAAGAAAATATTTTTTTTTATTCCCAGGTGCATTTCAATAAACAGATATAACGGGTGCATTGGCAGTTGGTGTTGTCATGTCTGCTTCAACATACAAATGAACGCAGGGAGGCATTTTTCTCTTGATAAATGGGGCGTATCGGTCCCTTTCTGTGTGATTTTGATTTCCAGGTTTTCCATTTAACAGATTAAGCCTCTTCATCACTTGAACCTAGTCAACTCGCTGGCTAAAGAGGTGATTAAGCGCCTGTGCAATAGTCAAAATTACTGGAGTGTGTCACGGTCACTCATGAAAAAACCTGATCAATATCCAAATTTTATATACTTTGTTTTATCCAAAATAGTGTTTTTTCTCTGTTGTTTATTATAGTTGCATTTGTGTTGAAAACCTGTGATAGCATCAGAATACTTATCAAGAATTATAAAAAAGAATCTTATCAAGGTTCTGCAATTTGCAAGCACTGATACAATGACCAAAACAACAGACAAGACGACTTAAAATGGGTATAATTACCTGTATATAACCCATAACAAGCCACCAGTCACATTTTGTCAACAGCCATGCAGATGATGAATTGCTAAACATGAATAAGATTTCATATTAAAGCAATTTATCAATGTTTTCTATAACTACAGGAGGAATTCTATTTGCAATTAATATTTTCAGACTGTTTAGTTAAATGTTGTTCAGACTGTACGTTGAAAAGGTTACACAGGAGATCAAACATATTACAAGTGGCATGAAGACTATTAGCGGATTGGACACTGAGGAAGTTTGAACTGTTGGACCTACAGCATTGCTATGGAATTTGTACCCTCTGGGTGATGTCACTTGTATTGACTCTTTTTAGTAAAGAAGTCTTGCAATGTTTCCCAGTGGGAAAGCTGAATCTAGGCACTGTAAACAGTCAACAGGCTTGGAAAGAAATTTGGCAGAGTCTGTGCTGAGATGACGGAAAGCAGCGTGTCAAGCAAAGTTTAAGATTGATAGAAACAGTCAATGGCCTTGGCATTCTCGTGTGTGAAGTTGACACATCTCTTATTTCCTGAGCCACAGAAATTTCAAATTCAATTTATTGGCTGTATTGTTCTGGTATGTTTCTAATTTAAAAAAAAAATCACAGCTTTCCTTTTGTTTATTCTCTTAATTATGAGCTCCACATACTTGCAGCATGGCTTGCAGATTGTATGGTAATTATAAACCCTAATCGATGTGTAATTTATTAATTTATTAAGATGGAAGATTTTTTTTCCCCAAAGAGGCTGCATTCTAAGCTCACCATCTATTTTCCTTAAGATCTGCAAGCTACACCAGCATTCTAATTACAGCTGAAGCTCCCAGCCAGTTGTCTCCAATCATGCTCCAAATGAAAAAGAGATGAAGTTAATATTTCAATTATTTTCCAGCCAAGAAATTCAGGCCTGTGTACTTTTATAGATGTGAAGAATGAAACACTTTGTTTTCTGTACTACTGTGTTCAGACTATAAACTGGCAAGATTAGATATTTTTACTCTGTCTCAGCCTTGCTGAATTGGTAGCACAGATGTACTGCTGTTGTTAAATGCTTGTTTTCCTCTGGACTGTCTGTTTTACTTCTTGCTGATCATGGTTATGTCCCTCTCCTGAAAGAGTAATTTTATCTAGGACCTACACCTGTACTGGTCAATCGTCAGACACTCAATCTCTCTCGCTTATAACAAATCACTGACATTTTCTTTTCAGCTCCTAACAACATCATAATGTTTTCTTATGTCCCCTGTAATGTTGTGTTATCATCTTCATTTAAGGTAATTTGTTTTTCTACACATTTTTCTTCTCTTTGCGATCTGTTGTATAACTTGTAAGCTAAAAAATGTGCACCTTTTTGTTTTTCTCTTTCTCAAATATATGAACAAACGTGGATGTTCAAATTCTCATTTTCTCAGATTCTCGCGTATCTATAATATACGTACACTACTTATATAGGTTTATTACCTTTAGCCATGCAACATTAAGCATCCATCCTGTTCCACAATATGTGTGTTTTTTCGCATCGGGCTGTAACAGCTGTATTTCTATGTAAAAACATTCAAAAAATTCTGTCCTGGAAATTAATTGGAAATTCATGTAATCAATATTACAGAAGTGTATTGTAAAAAAAAAAAATGTTTTTTTTTTCTTTTCTAGAATGAGATTCCACCATATGAATCCAGGATAACCACTGCCAAGCTACTTATTGAAGTCGAGGAATATGAGGTGTGATTGCTGCTGCTTTTTTCCTTTGATGGCATGTTTTATTAATTACTGTAGAAAACAAATCATTGTCCTCTAAAATAATGAAGCTGCTGACTACACGTACACCATTTTTATTTTTTGTGTCTCATAATTTTGGAGGTTGTAAATTTATGATAAGATGATAAAACTTCGCTCAAGTAGGTTGAAGGTTGAAGCCGAATGTTTTTGTCGCTGATGAAAATGAAAAAATAATAGAGATGTCTTAATTACGTTTTTCAGAATACATTAAAAAATGAAGGTGGTTCTCTGTCTGGTATTTTAGTGCTACTTCACTTTATAAGCTATAATGATGGCTGTCCAAAAGGTCTATTTTAGTTTTTAAAAAGGAAAAAAATGCATTGTCAAGTGGCACCAATAAAGCCTTATAAAATACAATGTTCAAGAACGTCAAAGTGCTGGACGTGATGTACTTCTGACAAGTAGGAGGGGGTGAGGAATACACAGTTGTACAATATGTGTAGTAATTTGTATTCCTTTAAATGTCACTAGCTGGGATTTTCTTGTAAAAAATAAATCAGACTTTGCCTCCTCCACAGGCAGGGAACACATGAAAAGTGGCAGGCACTGCTATGTCTGATAAATGCATTGAAGTCAGGTAGTCTGCCATGCTGGCCACAAACTAAAAAGAGATAAAAACTGCATTAGCCGAGGTAGGTGACTAATGTGGTAACAGATGTTCAATCAAATAAGGATGTCATTTTGTTAACTAATTTCTTTAAACTCTGTTGTAATACATAATTAGGCTGTGCTATAAAAAAAAGTAATCTGTATTTTACAGGGGGTTTTAAAACTATTTTTATGTGCCATTTATACATACTTTTATTTTTGGTTGTGTTTAGTTTTTTTTTATGTTTTACCTTCACAAAAGCAACACATATCCTGACGGCACTGGGTCTACCTTTTTCTTGTTGGGTCTCCCAATACCTCTCCAACACAGAGTTTTCAATAACACTCCCTTTTGTTTCCTGAAGATTCTTCTGTTTATCTCATTTCTGTTGGTCGCCCGGGCTAGTCCCAATTTCTGAGCGCTAGAGTTTCACGCTTGTTTCTTATTGCTGCTCTGCCCATGTCTTTATTATCCAAGTAGAATATAGAGAGCCTGGGGAACAGAGACTATACTGACTGATAGGCTGGCTTGATTCATTTTTTTCCCCTTCGTTGAGGACAGAAGGTGAAAAGAAAGTGGTTGATGCATTATTTAAACTGTGTTATTTCAAATGACAAACAGAATTTCACAGGAGTCTTGTAATATTTATTTCACTCACTGTCAACTGGTCTGATGTAAAAGGCCTTTAGGGCTCCTTAGCATTTGCTAGTTTTTAGTCTGGGGCAGTACCTCATGCAGTGCTTTCATTTATCAGACAGCAGCTTAAAGGTGAGCTTGGAGCACAGTGTTGTGTGTGCACACTTACTCTGTTCTTAGGAAAACTAAAGCAGTTTAACAGAAGGGTTTACAAATTTATCTTTGTTTAGAAAATTACAGCCCTGACTGTCTAAGAGTTATTCTCCAAAGGAACGCTAGGCTAACTGTCATTAACTGAGTGTTGGGCTGGAGGCGTTGGGTAATAAAGTCAGCTTAGAAAGGACAGCAAAGAGCTGTGTAAGTGCAACATCCCGCCATTTAGTTACGGGAGCCTTCGCTCTTGTTCAGATTTATGGCTCCTTGCAGTTGTACAGCAGTACCTGTCATTATCAAAACTGAAGCACGAATTCTAACTGGTGAAGTTAATATTCTCCAAGTTCACAGGACTACAAAAATTAATATAGCATCCCGGGGCAGGGCTGCTTGCACGAGTCAGACAACCTCAGAGCTTCACCAAACAAATAATCCATAATGAGAAATCAGGAATGCAAAGGGCAAAGGTCACTTTAGATGCCCTCTCGGAAGACTTGATAAAGTAATTGGCATTTGCCAGATAATAAAGCAGCCTGAGATTGCTCATCGTTTGGTAGAGTCCTCATTTGGTTTGAGTACAGCCTTCCTCCATATACAGGCAAATCGTGCTTCATTACTTGTGCACAATTTTCTAATAATAATTTCTAATAAAGTAATAATAAGTTTTTAGGAGGAGTCTCAGTTGGACCGAGATTGATCCAGGCATCAGTTATAGTTGGCAGGGGGAAATGGTTTTGACTTAGTCTCTAGTAGGATATAGAATTTCAGGGGCATACTCTTAAATTTGGGATTGCTTAGCAGGTGGCTGGCTAATGTAAGGAAAAACCTAGGAGCAGATAGCCTTTGAAATGATTAGATTAATGACATGTTTAGAACAGTGAATTGAACATACTCTACTTTGCTGTATTTAGAAGTTGTTTGAAAGACACTCTTACTGCTATTTAAATAATGTGATTTTGGGGTCTGTTTTTTTATCAGAGGTATATCTACAAATTACCCTCTTCAGCTTATAGACCTGCTGCTGTGTAAACTGCTTTTGGCTAAAATATTGTATTCATTGATTCTCATTAAAAAATACTGCACAAATACTGCCATTATAAGAAGTAATACAGTATGATGTTGGAGGAAAATAGCTTTGTCTAAAGCTGCTGTTTGATTGAAGATAAACCCGATCAAAATGTAAGAGTTGTTCTCAAAAAGAATGCTAGGCTTGATAAGTTGTTTATTTGTGAAGAAAGTCAGCATCATGGAACTGTGAATTTGATCGTTATAATTCACGTGTGAGGTGCTAAGCATAACTTCAAGGCTTCCTGCTGTTTTCTTGTCTCCATGCTGCGACAATATACGATGGGTATCTTCTATTGTTAATTGACAAATCTAATTGTCAATTAAGGAAATTAAAACTTATTTCCAGTATCTTTTTGTTTGGTTAGGGCTGTAATTTAAAGACTATTTTCTAAGACTTCTTTTGGAAAATTACATCATATTAGGCAAATTGGTTACTGGAACCCTGCATCGTGCTCCAATTAGAATGGGCAGTTTTTATTACCTGAAGAATTGTGTTAATTGATTGAATTACTGCTGCTAGGAATGCAACTGCTCCTGCTACTACTGATCTCCTGGGAAATGTACTGCACTGACTTTTATTAGTATCTGATTGAATTTCAGCGTGAACAGAGGAGTGAACCTTTACAACTTATGGCAGCATTCATGATCACAGAACTACATACTTGCTATGGTCAGACGTATCTCAATATTATGAAGTAACAGACATACTCCTGCACATGCCCAGTTTTTCAGCTGCAGTTGTGCAATTTCACTGGGGCAGTGAATCATTTTGGTTTCTGCTTTGGCAGTTTCTCACCTCTTCAGACAAATGTTTTACCCTTGACAGAAATCTGGATTTGTTGTCTCAGAAAACATTTCAAATGAAGGTGCTGTTGTGTTTGTGCTGAGTCAATTCTCTTTTTAGGCTGGGAATATTGTAATAAATGATTTAGGTCTGCAAGTTTGCTGCAAGAATAATTTGCTGTATGACTTCTGTTTTATTCATCACTATGGAATTCAGTCTCTGTGTGAGATTTGTATAGATTATTAACATGGGAAGAAACCCCATGGGTCCCTGCCTGTAGTCTCTGTGTTAGAGTTCACCTTTCTCTTTGACATGCCTATGATATAGAACTTTTTTTGTAAGAGTAAAGACCAGTTCTGAATTTATATAGTACCACAGCTTTCTGTCGTACATGTTTATGTTATTCCAGAAAAGCCTTTGCTTTAAAAATTTTTATGTATTTATTCTGCTTGCAGGCTAGTTTGGGAGGATAGAAACTACTTGTCATTTTGCAGTCTTTAATCCATTCTTATCAGAATGTTCAGATTCTTGATCACTACAACACAAGGTAAACTACACTTGAGCGGTCAGTATGAAGTGTTGTAGTAGCTAATCCATCACATTTACCAATGTAAGCCAATTGACTCTATCAGGTGTTCCTTGTCATTAGCTTCATTTGTTACTCCCTACGCATCCATTAAGTGAAAAGGCTAGTTTTTGTAGTACACAATACAGATCTATCAGGATCTATTAACTGTTATCTTAAAATAAAATGGCTGCGATTTCAGTAGAATATGACTATAGAATTGTTTCTGCCTAAAGAAGGAAAATTACAGAGTGAAAAGAACAGCATGTAAGATTGCCGATGCAGGTAAAATGGCAACATCTCTTTTTCTATATTATCCAAAGTATGCTGATAGTTTCGCTTCCCAGATTTATTGAATTTATTGTAAAGTGAGTTAAGCTGGTTCTGATAAATGTTCTGAGACCTGTGCCTCCATATTCTTAATGAAATGTCCTTGTTCATGTTTTAACAGGAAAGATTCTGCGTGTTTTCACTTGAAATAAAGATGAAAGCAACACACTTCAGATACTTTTCTGATCCTGAAAAGGAATGCATTTTTATAACCTTTAATTTCAAGTCATTTTTTAATCTAAGCTTTAATCTAATTTTCTAAGCTTGTTATTTTAATATTTTAAGATCTGGAAACACAACACAGTGGTGTACTTCTTAGTGCTGTAGCAGTAGTTGCCTGTACAGAAAGAATGAAGAGACGGCAAATTCCACTTGATTTGAAAACCTGGAATAAAATTCCCAGAGGATGACTTACAGTATAGTATTCCAGTACATTAATTGCTTCTATTAAGTTGATTATCTAGTGTCGCAGTTACTAACTTCAACATAAAAAGTGAAGTAATACAGTGTAGGTGGGGAGCTGCGTAAGCATGCATAGGCTGCAAAGCAACAAGTAATAGGTTTATTCCATGCTGAAAAGAGAAGAAAGAAAACACATTGTTTCAGTTGTGGAGCCTTCTTCAGGTGTGAAGATTGCGTACTACAGTGTAGGTTGTTTCTGAATACATACTGTATACAGTGTAAGTGCCATTACTTTCTTGGTTATGAAACAATGCATGCTCAGTTACAATTCTTTTTACAAATTTCAGAAGAAAGTAAGCAGAAATAATGGTAGCAAGATGATTATGTTTGTGCCTCTGATGTGCTGACCTTGAGTG